ATTCCAAAACATTGCCCCATTCCCCCTTTTCACCCCCCATTCCCCCCCCGTTTGGCCAGTCCCACTTAGTTACCATTTCCCCCATGCGACTCGCAGAGGTTACGAATGTCGCGTGGTATGGGTTGCGATGCGGGCGATGGACCGAATCGCGCGCATCTGCGCCTTCTCTGATTGGTTCGATGAGAGGCGCTTAGTCCTTCCATTATTCGCAGCCGCAAGTGTGCCAACGATCTGCCTGGCGACCACTGACCAACCTGTCTGATCCTTCAGACTGCACCACTTCCTGGCACGCCACGGCACAGCACGGCACGGCGCACAACATTTCACCTCATCCACCGACGCCCGTACATACACCATCGTCGAATTCATCCCACACACGAATTTGGCAGCAACTCTCCCTTCTCCATCTGTCAGCAGTGCCTCAGAGCCCTGGGCCTAGATAGCCTAAACCCCGACACTATATTCCAACACCGCAGATTACGCATTAGCTCGCAAAGCGAAGCTCGCTTCCAGTATCCTCTCACTGATCCTGTCGCCTTCCAAAACGGTGCGTTCCATAGGGATTATACTTCCTGCAAAAGCCTGTGCCTCGCCACACGCCATGGCTGAGGAATTTCAAGCGGAAAATGAGCCAGCGACGGCCGGATTCGTCGCTGAATGGGTCGCAAAGCTGTGTCTGTGCGACGCTTCGCTCGATGACGGCCAATGCGGTGTGTCGCACGACAACCTCGGTGACGAGTCCCCTGTCCGCGACCGAACGATCGTCACAATCCATTCAACGACGCGAAGCAGCAGTAGTGACAACAGCAAAAGCCGTAGAAGCGGCAGCAGCATGAGTGCTGTGGATTTGAATTCCATCTGTGAATCGTCTCAAGCAGCAGCACACACACCAGCCTCCCCCATCGCCGCCACCGCCGATACCGCCACCATTGCTACAGCCTCCGCTGACTGTAGTAGCACAAACGAAGATTCTCTCTCCACGGCGTGCCACGGCACACCGCGGCGGCTCCGCGTGGCCGTCAAGCCGCGCGGCAGCCCTGCCGCCGTGCCGCTGTTCCTGCCAAATGACTTCGGAGGCGACGCGGTGTGGGGACAGTCACCAGGATTCGGAAAAGGAGCTCGAGTCGCCGCTTTCCCCGCCGCGAGTCCCCCGCCGCACCGCGGCTCGTGGACGGACGGCGCGAGCTGCTGCAAAACGAAGCGCCGAACCGCGCTCGGACGGGACGACGAGCTGGAGGGAGTGCGGCGCGCACTGGGTTGGGACAGTAATGAGGGCACAGGAGGTGAGGAAGAGGAGAGCGGCTGCAGCGACAGTAACGTCGAAGCGGAAGGTCATTCGTCCGACGGTGATAGCTTCGCCACTCGCTGCGATCTGTTTTCAAGCTCGGACGAATCCGACAATTTTCTTCGCGACTCGCTCTCTGGTCTAAGCCGGCAGAGCTCTTTTATAGCCGACGGCATCCCGCAATCTCCGGCGCGGTTCTCGCCACCGGATGCGGGATCGCCGCGGTCGTGCACTTCGGGAGCCGTGTCGCCTATGTCCGTGCTACCTGCGCCGCTGATATTGTCGCTGTCCGCATCGCTGGGTGAGATGGCGGAAGTAGGGGCGGAAGAAGACGCTCTAATCATGCTGCCCATCGCGTGGGACGATGCGGGGGCGGAAGGGGATGTGGACGCGGTAGCCACTTCGGCGGCGGCAGCGGCGGCGGTGGCGGCGGGAACTTCTGCACATTGGTCACGACAGGCGACGCCGTGCCCTCGATCTCCATTCGCCACTCCTCCGCCTCGCTCGTCTGTTCCCCCGTCAATCCCGCGCAATGATCCGCTTCCGCCTGCCTGGAGCCATGCAACCGCGCACTCTCCCCCTGCGCGGTGCAACCTCCGCGCCCGCAACAGCTCCCCGCAGTATAGCGGAAACTTCGGACAGAACCAGTTCATCAATGACGCCTCTTCCCGCAGCCCCGTGTCCTCCGCCAATGCGCGCAACCACCAGCACCCAGCCGCGCACCAGCTACCCCAATCGGTGCCTTCCCGGGGCCCTTCCGCTCCCCACCCTCCGCCCGCCGGCTTTCCAGAGCGTCCCAATCCCCACCTCCCGCACCAGCACCCACAGCCTTTCCGCGCATGGCCTGCGTCTGGCTCCGCTCTCCCGCCCATTGGTGCATGCGCGCGCAACAACTTCCGCCACCCGCTCATTCCCGCGCCTATGCATGTCCCTGTTCACATGGGCATGGCCATGGGCATTCTCGGTATGCCCATGCCTGGTCCCAACCACCCACCCATGGCCATGCATCACCATCATCACGCGCACATGCACATGCCTGGTGCCATGGCTATGCCAATGCCCATGTCCGTCCATCCCCTAGCCCTGTCATCCGTTCCCGTCCACCTACCCCCGCATCTCGCGTTCCCTTGCCGTCCATTCCCGGGGGCTGGTCTTGCGGGAAAGTCTGGCTCCGGTGGGGTTCTGCGAAATGGCGGGAAGGCGGAAAAGGCGGCGAGCGTAGGGGGAGGTGCTAGGGCTGCTGCGTCTGCAGTGGCGGCGGAAGGGTCGTCGGGCACGGGTGTGTTTCTTCCTCGCACCAGTGCTGCTGATTCATGCGGTGCTGTCGTGGGTGGAGGGGAAGTAATGGCAATTTGATTAGCTGGGGATAAGGAGGGATACACTATTCGGAATTGGAGGGACTTTCGCGTGAGCAGTGGACGATTGTGTGGAGGATGGTCCAACAATGACTACAGTATACTGAAAGGTACACCCTACCTGGGTGACAAATACAGTAGATTTCATTATACACCTGTGTGTTGTCTCAACACACGACCCGCTTCTCTTAATGAGGATGCTCTACTAAGCGGCCTTATGCCCGTGTGGTTTAGTAGCTCACTTTGTTTTGTCTCAATAATGGTATTAATTATGTTAATAAAAACGCACAGGACCTCTATATAGGCATGATGTACCTTAGGTTGGGTGGGTGGGAGCGTAAATTATTACGGTAATATTGTACAAGAACAGTCCTCAATGGCGAGCAATCCTGTACTCCGCTTGCACTGCATCTTCTTCAGCCACCGGCAACATAAATGCATCAGGTAGCAATAAATATAAACTCTGGCATATTACACATCACGCCATTGATTTCGACAGGCAGACTGGCAGAGACACCCACACAGCATTTTTGGCTGCTTTTGAGCAGAAAAGTATGCTATAATGCAAATAAAAAGGCAACATGCAGAAACTTCCCCCCACTTCCTGCTGCTGTTGCTGCTGCTGCTGCTGCTGCTCCTGCTCCTCCAGCCACTGCGCAAGCCACCGTGCCACCACAAATAATGACTGCTGTGCTGGGGCCATGAATCATGATAAGGCACCTGCCCCTCCATCCTGCCTTAAACGCTGCTGCTTCAACACACCATTCACCCTCCCTCCTGAAAATCCTTCCTTCCCTGGAACGACCATGGTCCAGCAGCAACGGCTCTACGTTTTGGGCCACAGTGCAGGGTGCAAGATGTGAGGTGCAAGCAGTCAGCCAGTGGCAGAAGAAGCAGAGGCGGAGAGAGAGGCGGAAGCAGAGGGAGTGGCAGGGGCAGCGGCAGCGGCAGAGGCGGCAGTGCGGCCGCCACTGTCCTCCCTCACCACCAGCAAACGTCCCCGGAAGGGCTTGCCGTTGGTTGCTGCAAGCTGCGGTTGATGCATGTTCAGTGCGGTGGGAGCAGGTGGGGGGAGGTGGGGGGAGGTGGGGAGAGGTGAGGAGAGGTGGGAAGGATCGACTGAGAATATGGAAGTGGATAACAGCAAACTGGGAAGTGCTTCGACTGCCAGGCATACAGAGAGGAGGGGATTTTATGCAAGGCATGAAGAAGGGAGGTGGGGGGGGGAGGAGAAGGAGGATATGGGGGACTGGGGGTGGAGGGGGCTCACTGCTCTGGCGGCTTCTGTGCCATTGGAGAAATGAATGCACGCCTTGCCCTGTGACACACACACACACACACACACACACACACACACACACACACACACACGCATGGACGGACGCACACATGCATGCATGAACGCGCATGCAGAGGAAGGTAGGGGAAAGCGGAACAACTGGACGCTACACACAGCAGCAGCTTCTATGGAAGCTGAAGAATGGGCGAACTCTTGTAAAAGAAGTAGAAGAGTAAGTAGAAGAGGAGGGCTGTTTTTTTGCTTTGTGAACTTTTGTGGAAGGAGTTAGATGATGGTGAGACGAAAACATGACCGCCTGGGTAGAGGGGATTTACTCTGGATCGCCCCTTTTCGTCTCGAAACATGTCCACTCCCAGCACAGCGCCATGCACCATGAAGTACTCGGTGAGATCCTGATAGCACATGCATACACGTACAGACACACAGCGAGAGACACCGACACACAGATGCACAGAGACACACAGAGACACATAGAGAGACAGACAGACACACACACACACACACAGTGAGACAAACGGACACACAGTCAGGTAAAAGAACAAACATGTTATCCCACAGTATTTCAGCATCCCAAAAGCAGAATCTGCTAAATAGAATCACACGCGCGCGCGCGCGCGCACACACACACACACACACGCATCCACACCCATCCAAGCCCATGCCCCCAGACGCACCTGCACTGTGACACTGTAGTGCAGGTTGCTTATGAAGAGAGAAGGCCCTGGCAGCACTGCCGGTTGCTGCCCCACTAATGGCGGCACTCCCAGCTGTCCCCCAAGCCCACCCATGCTCCCCATACTTTCCAAACCACCCATACCGCCCATACTACCCAAACTACCCATACTGCCAATGCTGCCAATGCTACCCATGCCACCCATACCACTACCGCCCATACCGCCCATACCGCCCATACCGCCCATGCCACCCATACCGCCCATGCCACCAATGCCACCCATACCACCCATGCCCATCCCCATCCCCATTCCCATGCCCATGCCACCCATGCCCATCCCCATTCCCAGGTTTCCATCCCCCATCATGTTCCCCAAGCCTGGAAACAAGGACATGTCTAGCCCCGGAATTGGTGGGTAACCTCCCAAAGCAGCCATTGCTGCAGCTGGGTTGAGCATAGGGTTAAAGGCCAGAGGCAGAGGCAGGGGCGAGAAGGGCGACGTGAGTGGGTTGGAAGAGAGCGGGAGGGACAGGCCGGGGTTGGGTAGAGGGTTTTGGAGCGACTGTGCTTGGAGCAGTAGTTGCTGTATCTCCTGCTGCTGAAGTAGCAGCTGCTGCTGCTGTAATGGATTCGTATTTTGCTGCTCCTCTGGTTGCCCTTTCTCGCTAGAGCCCTTGACTTCGTTCCCCTGCCCATGGGTCGAACCATCATTGTCTGATCCACGCCCGGCGCCTAATTCTTCCTCGCTCTTCTCCCCTCCGTCTTCTAGCCCCCCCACCTCATCCTGCTCCCCTTGCTGCCCCTGCTCCTCCCTTCCGTGCTCCCCTCCCTCCCTCTCACCCTCATTCTCCACCTTCCCCATTCCCTTCTCCTTCTCCTCCTCCTTCACCTCCTCCTCCTCCTCAACCCCCTCTTTCCGCTGCTGCTGTAGTTGTGGCACGTATTGCTGCAGTTGCTGCTGCTGCTGCTGCAGTGAGTGCTGCTGGTGCATGTGCAGCTGAGCCATCTGCGCCTGCAGCTGCATGGCCTGAGTTGCCAGCTGCAGCTGCTGCATGCTGGGAAGCGGGGCACCCAAGGGGGATGCTCCCGCACCACCCAGGGATGCCGGGTCCAAGAACGCTGCTTGCACGGGTGCAGAGGACAGGGAGGGGTTAGGTAGGGGAGTGAGGGGAGGTTTGGTTTGGAGTGGATTAGCAAAAATGTGCCCTCGCCCAGGGATGCCGGGTCCAGGAATGCTGCTTGCACGCATGCAGAGGACAGGGAGTGGAATCCGGGAGGAGCGGGTTTTTGAGGCGCGGAAAACATTCGCGACCGCTGCTTGCATGGTTGCTGTGGATTATGGATAGGGAGGGGAATAAGGGGGTTGAGTGGGGGAGATTTCGAGTCACCCAAAAGAACGGTCCCGCACCCAGGGATGCTGGGGGAGGTTCGTGTTGGCTCACCGACAATCACAAACACATTGAGTCGTCTAGTATCTTGAGACAACACGCACGCACGCACGCACGCATGCACACACCGACGTGTCTCACCTCCATAAGAGCCAGGCATGCCCATAGCCGCAGCAGCTGCTGCTGCCGCCGCTGTCGCTGCACTGGCAGCAGCAGGAGAGGGGCACACGCAGGAGGAGAAGGAGGCATTGGACAGACGGGAGAGGGAGCGAAAGGGAGATGAGTAAGAGGATGCATCATGCCAGAGGCAATAGCAGGTATGGGGGGTACTGGGTTGTCAAATCGAAGGTGGTAGGGGGAGGGAGAAAATGAGAGGGCGAATTCCTTTCTTCTTTACATTGCTTTTGGTGATATCAAGGAGCCAAATGTGCCTACAGCCGCCGCTTCCCTGGTCGAAGAAAAGCAGCGATGCACACACGCAGCTGGGCAAAGAGAGAGACAGGGTCGAGAGGCAAGAGAAGACTTGAAGCACAGAGCACAAGGTGGCAGGTTCTCTTTCATGTGAGGACAAGGTGCAAAAGCAGAGGCGGAGGCAGGGAAGCAGGGCAGGCAGGCAGCATGAACCAAACGGGGAGAGACACAACAGACAGACGGACAGACCTGGGGGAGTAAGGCGAGGACGAGGAGGAGAGCTGGCGCTGCAGCAGCGGCTGCTGGTACTGATTCTGCTGGTACTGATTCTGCTGGAACTGGTTCTGCTGGTACTGGTTCTGCTGGTACTGGTTCTGCTGGTACTGGTTCTGCTGGTACTGGTTCTGCTGGTACTGTTGGGTGTGTGAAGCAGCAGAGGCCTTAGGCGCTGGCGGCTTGACGTGAACCCTCACCCCGGCAATGACCTGCTCCTTCACCTGCACACAGCACGAGATGTGGCGCAAAGGCAAAGGGACGATAGAGAACATTGGTGCAGCAGCAGCAGCAGCAGCTCCTTTAGGGAGTCGACTAGAAAACTAAAGGTGTGCCTGCGGGAGGGAGGGAGGGAGGGAGGGAGAGAGCATTGGTGCGCTTCTTCAGGGAGAGAGCTACTTCTTCTTCAGTCAGAGAGCTGTGTTGTGTTGTGTCGACTCAAAAGGTGTCCCCACGCGGCAGGAAGAGGAGCACGGAGGAGATCACGTTCGTTCTGGAAAGGAGGCTCCACTGTGCATGTTGCTTCTAATGCTCACCGCCGCTGCCTCTTGCTCCTTTCTCTGCCTCTCTCTCCCTCTCTAACCATCTCTCACCTCACTCACCCACACTCTCTCTCACTACCTCACCGGCAAGCCACACCTGCATGGCGGAGCGTCGATGGTAGACAGGTGGGCTGCGGTTGACAACTGTGGGCTACTCTTCAATTTAGAGTGGCACAATACGCACCTGCATGGCGGAGCGGGCAGCATCCTCTGTTTGGAAGGTGACAAAGGCAAAGCCCCTGCTGGGCTGCGGATGGAACAGGTCTGCCACAGGGCCGTACCTGCAGTGCAGGTAGGGAGAAGAAACGTGGGGGGGTGATAGGGGGAGAGGAAACAGAGAGAGGGAAGGATGAAGGGGAGAGAAATGCATGAGAGAAAACAGAGAGAAAGAGAGAGAGAGGGAGTGAGAGAGCAGATGAAAGAGAACCGGGCACAGTACTAGGGAAGGAGACGGGTGAGGATGGAGGGACAAGTGAAACGGCAAGCAGCAATTTGGCCAGGGCAAGGCAAGCACTTGAGAAAGTAGGACCGCATTTCATCAGCGGAGAGAGCATCTGGAGAGCCTAAAATCCCCACAAACACCTTCCTCCTCTGCTCCGCCTCCCGCATTGACCCTCCTCGCTGCTGCTGCTGCTGCTGCTGCTGCTGTTGATGCTGGTTCTGCTGCTGGTTCTGGTGCTGCTGGTACTGCTGCTGGTGCTGCTGCTGGTGGTGCTGGTGATGCGGCTGCCATCTGCTGCCGTCTCCTAGTGGGTTATCTGAGAGGTGAGCGGGATAGGCAGCTGCAGGGGCAGATGGATGGGAGTCGAAGTGCGACGCACGGGATGACAGGGAGAGAGTGCCTGAGGAGGTGGAGGAGGAAGGGGAGGAGAAGGATAGGGGGGGAGCAATGGAGGAGAGAGAGGAGTGGGAGGAGGATGAGGAGGAGGATGAAGCGGAGAGGGGTGGGGAGGTGGTTGAGAGGAGGGCATTGGAGGAGCTCGGTGGTTCCAGTGGAAATTGATGCTGCGGCAGTTGGAAATCACGTGGCGGCCGTATTTGCACCTGGGGTGAGAGGTACGCAGAGAGGAGAGGTACACAGATAAATATTGTGTGTGTGTGTGTGTGTGTGTGTGTGTGTGTGCGCGAGCGCGCGTGTGTGTCTCCATGTGCATGTGTGTTTGTCTGTGTGCAAGAAAGAGCAAGAAAGTGCAAGAGAAGGATCAAGAGTGAGAAGGTAGCAGAACTGATGCAGGGAGTGGGTGAGCGAGAGTGGGTGAGCGAGAGTGAGAGTGAGAGACACCTGTCTGTTGTCAATGATGTGGTCTTGGCTGAGAACACGCACTATGGCCTCTGGATCACTGTGATCGCAGCAGGAGAGGGAGGCAGACGGGAGGCGGGAAGGAGGGAAAGAGCAGGGAGGGTGAGGTGATAGTTTCATAGTTACAGGGGTGCAATGCAGCCTCAAAGCGAGTGCAACCCCAACACGAGTGCTAGTAAAATGCCAAGAGCCAGCCAGCCAGCCAGTGGTGTGGTGAATGTGCTGTGCTGCTTACGAATTCCGAGAAATCACTCTCAAGACATACCTGAAGTTCACAAAGCCGTAACCTCTGGAGCGGCCACTCGGTTCTGTGATCACAGAGCACAGGGACACCTAAGAGAGGGGGAGGCAGGCAGGCAGGCAGGCAGGAACAGGCATGGGAAGGGCGCAGACAAGGAAACATGCAGAGACGGAATGATCAGCGGCGGCAGGTCAGTCAGGAAACGCTTGAAAGAAAAGCATTGCTACTCTTCTACATACCAGCGCCGCTTCCTTGCTATGTTCACTACCCTCTCCCCCCACTTCCCTCTCCCCCCACTACCCTCTCCCCCCACTACCCTCTCCCCCCACTACCCTCTCCCCCCACTACCCTCTCCCCCCCACTACCCTCTCCCCCCACTACCCTCTCCCCCCACTACCCTCTCCCCCCACTTCCCTCTCCCCCAACTCTTCCCTCTCCATCCCATGTCCCCGACTCCTCCCGTGTCTCGGCCGCACCTCGCCGAAGTGAGAGAAGTAGTGACGCAGGCTATCAGACGATGTGCCCCACGACAGCCCGCGGATGTACAGATCGCCCACTGGCCCTGCCCCTGCCACCCCTGCAACCCCTGCCCCTGTTACTCCCCCAGATGCTGCTGCTGCCCCTGACCCTGCTGCCCCTGTCAATGCTGACCCTGCCCCTGCCCCGGCTGTCACTGCAACCCCTTCCCCTGCTGCCCCGGCTGCTGCTGCTCCTGCTGCCTTGAGTACCGTCGTCTCCTCGTTGTAAACCACAGCCCTGGAAACAGATGCTGGCACGAACTCAGCAGCAGCCGCCGCTACAGCAAACGCTGAGGATGCCGCTGGAAAGGCGGCCACGGCTGCAGGCGCAGCAGCAGCAGCAGCAGGAAGAGGAGGAGGCAGACGAGAAGCGAGAGCAGGAGCGGAAGAAGCAGCAACAGCAGCAGGGAACCTAGCAACGGGAGTAGCAGCAGCAGAGCCAGCAGTACCACTGGCAGCATCGCCAGCAGCAGCAGCAGCAGCAGCAGGCCGTGTGATACCGCTACCAATCACACCACTACTACCAGCAGCACTGGCGGAGCTGACGGCGGTAAAGCTGATGCCACTACCAGCAGCGCTCTGTGCTTCTCTCCCTCCCTCCAAAGTCCCGTTCTGCACCCCAAACTCCGGTGCTGCTGTGAGCTGCGGCACTCCCTCCCCCACCTTGCGTCCCACCCATGGCCCTCTCTCTTCTCTGCCCACGTGACTCACATGGTGATTCTGACCAACCACAGGCCATGCCGCCACAGCTGCGGAGGGGTTTTGTGGGGGGTGAGAGAGGATGGGGGGCGGGAGGGGGCGAAGGGGGATGAGCAAAGGAGTGAGGGAGTGGGGGATGGGGAATGGAAGGAGGAAGGAGCGGGAAGGAGCGGGAAGGTATGAGTGGATAGAAGGAGGCGAGAGCCAAGAAAACAATTTCTGAAGCTGTGAGGGTTGAGCAACCACCATTGCTTGCCTAGTTGGTCGGTTGGTTGGTTGCTACGCTACTACGCCTCCTTGCACGAGCAAACAATGTGTGCAGTGCACTCCATAACAATGTGTGCAGTGCAGTGCACTACATGGGAGGGAGGGAGCACACACACATTCGCTCTCTCCAACTCCACACCCAGCTTGACCTTGTGTTTCCATGCCACACATTGTTTCCAAAATCCCAGCCAGCAGGGCTGCTTGGTTCTCTCTTGTACAGCAACTCAGTCCACATCTTCCTAACCTACATTTCCCAGTGCCTTGCTCATGCCAATAAATTCTTCCCTCACCTCCCTCCCCTTCCCTTCCTTCCTCTCTCCTCTCCCCTTCCCTCCCCTCCCCTACCCTCCTCTGTCTCCTCTTGAATTTACCTACCTTTTTCCCCACCAACACACCAAGAGAATGCTGCATACCTGACAAGGCGCCGTCCAATCCTACATGTCCTCCTCCTCCTCCTCCTCCTCCTCCTCCTCCTCCTCCTCCTCCTCCTCCTCCTCCTCCTCCTCCTCCTCCTCCTCCTCCTCCTCCTCCCTCTCCAGCCAACCTTTCCAATTCCCCACCCTTCTCTCCCATTTCCCCTCCTCCTCGGACCCCTCCCCCGTCTGCTAGGTTCGCCCCCAAGTCCATTACTACAATACTGCTTTTAGCCACAGTGACAACTGGCCGAGGGGCATCGGGGGTGACATTCGCGCCTGTGATGCTAACGGGTGGGCTGCCGCTAACGGTGCTGGAGGTTCCAGCGAGGTTACAACCAGCAGTGGCGCCTGTAGCAGCGGACGCATCAGGCGCCGCCGACGCTGATGCTGCTGCTCCTACCGCCGCAGAAGCTGCAACTGTTTCTGCGGGCAATGCCGCTTCGCCTAGCGCTGCAGCAGCAGCAACAGCAGCAGGAGCAACAGAAGCAGGAAGGGGCGGAGCAGGAGGAGAAGCAGCAGCGACTGCAGCGTGTGCAGGTACATCTAAGGGTCGTTTCGGCTGTGCTCGCAGCGTCGCTGCCATCACCACATCCACGCCTCTCACCACCCCACTCCACGCCCTCACCTCCGCATCCCGCCGCACTCCACCGCTTCCACACTTACCCGCTGCCCCTGCTGCCGGCCCTGCTGCCCCAGTTGATGCTGCTGCCGCTGTTGCTGCTATTGCAGCACTAGGAGCAGCGGCATTGCCAGCAGCGGAAGAAGCAGCAGCAGCATTGGGAGCAGCTGAGGGGGAGGGAAACCCATTGGGCAGCTGCTGGCCCATGGGTTCCATCTCAGCCGTAGATCGGTCACTAATGTGATGTCACTGATGCCAATGGTCGTAGTATCGGGGGTTGTGACTGTATGAACGGAAACTAATCCGCGATCTAGAAACGTGGGGTGGGTACGCTAGCGTGCTGCAACCCACTCTCGTTTGCAGCGGGAATGTGAGCTGTGGAACGCGGCAGTTATCCTGCGTCGTCGATTGAACGCCCTCGGGTATCTTAGACCGTCGATGGCGCCGGATCGCGGCAAAAGACGGCTGTTTTAGAAACCGCGGAGGGATCTGCAGTAAATTGTGTCAAGCGATGGGAAAACGGGACGCGGAGGGACGAAGAGACGGAGACGCAACGAGGGAAACAGGCGGATCAGGAAGAAAACGCGGTGGCGCGGCGGGCAAAAGGAAAATCGGACATGGATCGCTGGCCTGGAAATCGTCGCAACGCGCGACGATGAACAAACTGGGTGGAGCATCGAAACACTGTAGGGGAAGAATGGGGAAAGAATGGGGGCCGGGCCTGGTTAGTGGCAGACGTGGTGGCGGAAAGAAAACAGGAAGGTAAGAGAGGCGCGTCCTTAACGATCCATGTTCAGGAACCAACGCGCGTGTAACGTGTCGGATCCTCGAACACGGCCTGTGTGAGCAACCCTAAGGCCCGCAGATCGCATCGCACGCTACGGCTCCGTCGGGACGGAGAGCGCGCGTGTAAGTGTCGGATCCGCGTTATCTTACGCTGCCGGTTCGCGGTATGTGCGGCGCGTGCGGCACCGGATGATGCAATGAAAGTGTTGAAGAAAAGATTCCTGTCGACAATGCGTGGAAGGAAATGGATGTGCGTGCAGACCTGGAATTAGGGTTGGGGAAGACAACGCCGCGACACGGGTGGGCGCAATCGCACGGCTACGATCGCGTATGCCTGATGCCTGATCCGACGAGCGCGAGAAAAGGCGCTGTAACCAGCGCGATAATAAGGCCGTGATTCGCGGCTTCGCATTACCAATACGGTCGTGTGACCTAGACTGCGGCGGGACTCGCTAGACCAAGCGCATTTCGCGGCTCTTCCTGCATCCGATTTCCCTACCCTGCAGGCACCGCTTGAAGGCAACTCGGCGAAAAACGAAAGGAGTAACCATGCTGCTGTTATGGCGAGGGGACGCCACATGTGGAGCGCATGACTCGATATGCCACCGTCCAGCCAAAAAAGAAAAGGCGGCAATCGGCCAACTACACAGAAGATGTGCTTGAACTACCCAACAATGGCAGCAGGTAGACGGATTAGGGGATGCGAGGAAAGTAGGGGATGCGAGGAAAGTAGGGGATGGAGTGCAAGCCAGTCTCGTCTCCCCCTCCACCCACCACAGATAGTTGGCCTTCTGTGCTAATCAACCGCCATTAGGGCGTGGGCCCAATCGGGTTTGATCGCCTCGATCAGCGGCGATCAATAATTTCCAGGAAGCCTGGAAGGCAAATTCAGGCAATCAGGGGCAATCAGCTGATCGCGATCAGCTGATCGCCCAACCTCGATCAGACCCGAATTTAACCCCGATCAGAGTCGATTTTCCTCGATCACAGGCAATCAATTGATTGCTTGTGATCGGGGCACCCAGCGATGCTTGCGAGCAGTTACATTGTTGCACGTACACTGAAACGAAGATCTTCGCCAGGTGAATCCTGGTCGTCAATCTCGCTAAAATGGTGACGAAAATGCCACGGAAATGCATCGCCGGAAAATCATCTCTGATCGGGCGGCTAGGGCACTACGATCACAAGCGACCCGATCAGATCCATCCCGATCATATCAGTCGCGATCAAACTTGATTGGGCCCACGCCCTTAGTTCCGACCTGCCATCCAATCCAACCCTCGCTGGTTGTACCACGAGGGCGAGCGAACAGATGTATATTTTTTTCCTGTGACCACGTGCGTCGAAGTTTTCAACCACACCCCTCCTACTTTTCATTGAAATTACTACGCTTTGCATGGAATCTAATTGTGCAAGACACCCATCATCCCACCGATGCTCAAAGGTTCGAAACTACCAAGGATCTTGGATAGTTATTATGCTGTCTACCACCCCTAAGCAGTGTCGTTTAGCCCAGACCAATTGAGCTGGTGCTTTAATCTGACGGGAAAATGGAGCTGGTACTGGAGAATGTCATTGAACCTTGATTGCATAGTTCAGCTCTTCACGCTTTTCCCTCCTTTTAGGGTATGGGTAAATTGTATTCAATAAGTCCTTGACCCCGGGCCGACGACATGCCAGCTCTATTGCAGGAACAGGGTTGCTGGCTGAGTGCTCACCTGATCTCTGTTACTCTGGGTTGAAGGGAAAGCTCCATAGCTGCGCTGCGGCTTCGCTTAATCCACCCCCACCAGCGGCTCGAGTTGTTGGAATGGAAGTGCACATCGTTCGTGTTCGCAACTACATACTAGGGTTGTTCGTAAGCTCTTAGGATTTTTATCACTATATGGACTTAATTATGAAATCTTTGTGAGAAAGGAAATTATGACATTGTTATGAGAAAATGTTCGAACATATGAGAATTGCTGATATAGCATATATGAAAATCAATTAGCATTTCCAGTTGCACTACAGTTGATGATATAGGCCAATGACAATGATACAATCTGAACCGTCTTATAGGATCGTCTCAGGTTGATGGCACGGACTGTAGCAGCGGAAGATTGCTAGGTAATGTCGGGTACGGACTCTGTCAGTAGAAGGAGATTTGAATCTAGACATAAGTGACTATTACAATGCGGTACAGGGGTTTATGTAGGAATACAGTGGAATACGAAAGGTCCTAGCTAGCCATGTACTCTGAGGGGGTACATTCCCCTTAAGACTAATCTAGATGCAGCATCTCAACCGTGCGGTTCGGCAACCATACGCGGTTTGGTAACCGTTTGAACATTTCCCGCGCTTTGCACTTCAAATTCTTCCTGCTTGTAACTGTCTCGATAACTGTCTCGTCGCTTGGTCTTTCGTCCTCGCTGCAGTCATCTTCGCGTTAAGGATTTTTTACTCAGGAATGTTTGTTCAACTATTCAATATTATAACAGACAAGCTAATATAGCTATAGTGAAAATGTACCATTTTTCAATGAATTACATTGAATCCCTCCGTTTCAAGATGCATCGCATATCCATATTCAAGGTACTGTAAGGAAAATTCCTTTTCCTTACTTCGCATCCCTGCTCAACGCGTACATCACTGTAGCACCACAGTCAGCACCGTTACCACTCGCAACCCTCGCATCGACAATCTGCCCGCCACCTTCGCACATCGCACCCCGACCTCACGGCTCGGCGGGTAACCCGCGCTCCGGGCCTCTGCTTCGACACTTTTTCCCAACCTCAGTCCCAGGCCCGTCGCGCGACAACCACAGTCCATTACCGTTACCACTATAGTTTCGCTATATATTCTTCGCTCATGCCTTCGCTCATTGTACTCTTGCTGCGATAGTGCAATTCTCGTTCGTTCACTCAATTGCACTCGTTATACTTGGTATCAGAGCCTACGACCTCTTCTCGGACCGCACCCACACCTTCGCTTCCCCACTATCTCAATTTTTGGGGGGGGTAGACGTCCCTCAGCGACACAGCACCGCCGCTCGTAGTGCTCTCTCGTAAGCACGCACGGCCACGACTGAGGCTCTCGCTGAGCTCGCCCGACACCCCCGCCATGGCCGAATTCACGCTCGCCACATTGACGCAGGAGCAGCTCGACCGTCTGGTGCGCCAACTCGAAGATTCGGCGCTCGAAATTGCGACGCTCACGGCGGAACGTGACTCCGCGCGTCAGCAATCAACGATGAACACTCCAGCGCCACCACACGCACCGACAAATGCATCTGCACAATCAGACGAGCCGATCGTCATCTCGTCCGGCACACCAACACAAAACAACAGCGTGGGACAGCGCTCAGGCGCAGCCAGCGATGGCGCCGCCCAGCCGATGCCTGGCATGGGAGGAAACAGGGTCGCACCAAGCCCGCGGGAGCCTCGCGAAGCCCGTCGGCACGTGGAGTTTGCGGCGACAAGTGGCGAACAGGCCATCATGGCACCAATGCCACTCAAGCCGCAACGCCCGCCCTGCTTCGACCCGAGCCAGCGTGGAGGTCCGACGGTTCAATCGTGGGTCTTCACGATGAACGTCTTCTTCGACGCGAATTACGTCGAGTCGGACGCAGCGAAGATTCGGTATGCAGTTTCGCTGCTAAGGGGCCCTGCCATGGACTGGTGGCGAGTCATCGTGACGTCGCCATGCGCCTACGAGCCACCGTTGCAAGAGGAAGGGCCCACGGGTCCAGCTGTCACCTGGAGTTCATTCTGCGAGACCGCCCAATACAGCACGTGGGATGCGTGGTGCGCAGGGCTTCGGGCGCG